GGTGAGTACAGTAGCACAGAGTTTGTAGAGTATTGTGCTGAACAGGGGATCAGAATGCTGAAGACAGTTCCAGAAACACCACAGCAAAATGGTGTTGCAGAGAGGATGAACAGAACATTGAATGAGAGGGCCAGAAGCATGAGATTGCATGCAGGACTTCCCAAGATGTTCTGGGCCGATGCAGTGAACACAGCAGCGTACTTGATCAACAGAGGACCCTCATCTCCCATTGGTTTCAAAATTCCAGAAGAGGAATGGAAAGGTCGTGAGGTATCTCTTAATCACTTGAAAGTTTTTGGTTGTATTTCTTATGTCAAAGTCAGAGATGCAGATACTGACAAGCTTGAGGCAAAGGCAAAGAAGTGTATCTTTATTGGGTACGGGTCGGATGACATGGGCTACAGGTTCTGGGACAACCAAAGCAAGAAGGTTATCAGAAGTAGAGATGTCACCTTCAACGAGAATGCCCTTTATAAAGATGGTCTTGCAGCAGGAACAAGCAAAGGCAAGCAACCAGAGAACAAACAGCAAGTGGTGTTTGAAGGGATGACTGAAGATGACATAGCACAACCGGTCGGTTGTGATGAGACGGCTGGAGGTTCAGGGAGCAGTGGGAGCTCAGGAGATACAGGAATGTCTGAAGATAGTGGGAGTGATGAAGATGGTGAAAATTCAGAGGCAGCTACTCCTCAAGTCAGACAGTCCACCAGAATCAGAAGACCTCCTAACAGGTATTCTCCTTCAGCAAATTATCTGTTGCTGACCGAGAATGGAGAGCCAGAATCTTACTCAGAGGCGTTGGCTGCGAGAGATTCCATACAGTGGAAAAAGGCCATGGAAGATGAGTTAGATTCACTTGACAAGAACCAAACTTGGTCATTAGTCAAGTTACCACCGCGAAAGAAAGCATTGGAGAACAAGTGGGTTTTCAGAATCAAAGATGAAGCAGATGGGAGCAAAAGATACAAGGCCAGGCTAGTTGTCAAGGGGTTCCAACAGAAGAAGGGGGTTGACTACAATGAAATCTTCTCCCCGGTTGTGAAGATGACCACTATCAGGTTGATTCTTGGTATCGTTGCAGCTGAAAATTTACACTTGGAGCAGCTGGATGTGAAGACTGTTTTTCTTCATGGTGACCTTGAAGAAGACATTTACATGGCCCAACCAGTAGGTTTCCCAGTGAGTGGTAAAGAGAAGATGGTGTGCAAACTCAAGAAGAGTCTATACGGACTGAAGCAAGCTCCTAGACAGTGGTACTTGAAGTTTGACAGTTTTATGCAGCGGAATGGGTACACTAGATGCAAGATGGACCATTGCTGTTACTTGAAGAAATTCAAGTCATCATACATTATTCTTCTTTTGTATGTTGATGACATGTTGGTGGCTGGAGCAAACATGCAGGAGATCAACAAGCTCAAGAAGAAGTTGTCTGAAGAATTTGAGATGAAGGATTTAGGGGAGGCGAGACAGATTCTTGGGATGAGCATAGTCAGAAACAAGGTGGAAGGTACTTTGAAGCTTTCACAGCAGAAGTACATTCAGAAGGTCCTTGAGAAGTTCAGAATGACGAATGCCAAGCCAAGGAGTACACCGTTAGGGAGTCAGTTGAAACTCTCCAAGCAGCAGTCTCCAAAGACCAATGAAGACAAAGATGAGATGGCTAAAGTTCCTTATGCATCAGCCGTTGGCAGCTTGATGTACGCAATGGTGTCAACAAGGCCGGACATTGCTCATGCAGTGGGAGTTGTTAGCAGGTTCATGTCAAATCCAGGGAAGGAACATAGGGAAGGAGTTAAGTGGCTGTTACGCTACTTGAAAGGTACTTCTGAAATTGCTCTTTGTTTCAGGAGGAATGGAGCAATTCTAGAAGGTTTTGCAGATGTTGATTTGGGGGGCTGTCATGATTCCGGGAAGAGCACTACGGGTTACATATTCACTATTGGAGGTACGGCAATCAGTTGGATGTCCAGATTACAGAAGAGTGTAGCTCTTTCAACCACAGAAGCAGAATATATGGCTATTACTGAAGCGGCCAAGGAGATGATTTGGTTGAAGAACTTTCTTTTGGAGTTGGGCATGAAACAGGGGGATTGTGGTCTATATTGTGACAACCAGAGTGCTATTCATCTCGCGAAGAATCCAGTGTTTCACAGCAGAACGAAACACATCAAGATGCGATACCATTTTATCCGAGAGTTGATTGAAGACGGTATCATAAACTTGAAGAAGATCCTTGGTACGAAGAATCCAGCAGACATGCTTACCAAGGTGGTGACAACGGAGAAGTTAAAGCTAGGCATGGCTTTAACTGGCCTTCCAGATACTTGATGGGAAGGTGTGAACGAGAGATAGAGATCAGGGGTGTTGCAGAGGATACATGTTCTTGGATGGCAGATGACTGTTGAACAAGCCTCCAAGTGGGAGATTGTTGAAGATGGAGCCTTGTTTGGAATGCAGGAGTATATACCCGATCGGGTATGTTGGGTTACCCGATCGGGTATGAGGTGTTTGATGGGTCGAGTAGTTCCCTGGTTTCTACACTCGATCGAGTATTGGTCATTACTCGATCGAGTATGCATGGTTGGCTTACTCGGGTAAAAGTCTGTGTTTTGTACCCGATCGAGTATGGAGGTATACTCGATCGAGTATGCGTAAAAACCTTACTCGAGTAGTAGTCTGGAATCTATACTCGGTCGAGTATGTATGTATACTCGATCGAGTATACGGGAAAAAATTAATGACGGGATTAATTTTTGGGCCTGCGGCCTTAACCCTTATTTAGGCTTTCTTAAACCTATTTAAACATCCCTAATGTATCCGTAAACATACCAGACGCTGGAATAATAATAGATCTCTCTCTCGTTCGCCGTGGACTAGCGTAATCACACCGATTGCGTGAACCACGTTAATTCTTGTGTTCTTGCTTTAAATTTATCGTTTATCTTAGCCTAATCGTGATAATTAACACTATATTATCTCCTTCTTTGACTGGACACACAAATCAAGATAGTGAGTTTTGTGTGGTGAAGAGTTGTGTAGAAAAAAGAGAAATTCGTAAGAAATTGTTGTGGATTACAATTTTTTTTGTCAAAAATGGAAAGAATAGATAACTTTGAGACGGATGAAAAAGGAAAGTCTGAAAATCGATAATATAGGGACAAATTTACACGAACTTTTTTACAGTAAAAATATAGACAATTTTTAAATTTGAATAAGGATAAGGTTGGTCACCCTACTTACGTCCCTGACCGCGATAATATGAGAGTTTCATTAGATGTGATGGCTCGTTGCTGCATCAACCCCAAAATCACCTCTCTTAGAAATTACTTTTATTGGGCCGGTGTTGGACGCCCCGAGTGAGTGTTTCCAGAAAGTTCAGGTTGGAATTGAGTCCCAAAAAGAAGCACAATGAGACAAAGAAAAATTAATGCATATATTTCTTTAATTGACATGGAACTAATAGACAAATAGTAGACATAGAAAACTAAAAAGATTCCATTTTAATTAAGTTCTTATACAAATTCCTCTTTTACCTTTCACCTCTATCTCTAATTTCAATCTTTGCCTATTATTACTAGAATTACGGAGTATTAAAACATGATCACTTTCAATTCCCGGGACACGTTAGTAATGAGTTGCAGCGTATGTAACCCCTGACTTATGATCAAGTTATGAGTGTTTATTAGAGATATATGAAAATTTCGGCCGACCCGTTGGATACCCGCACCGAACCGATTTGGTCAAACTGGGGAAAACCGGTTTGACTGGGGAATGGGTATGGGGCGGGGAATACCCGAATTTTTTAAATGGTTAATGGTGCGGTTATGGTTCTATACTAATCCGCCCCGTTATCCGCCCCGAAACCGCCCCGTTCACTAATAGTGCGGGTACCCGCACCGTTACCCGATCCGTAACAATATTAATTAATTATAACTTTTTATATATAAGAATAATAAGTATATATGCTAAATTGTGTATACTAAATAGTATATATCATATAAATAATGCTAAAAGATACTACGTGGTACTTTTTAGGCCTAAAACTAAATATAGGTCTAAACCTGTTTTTGGAATTTGGATTCTGGGATGATTACTACCTTTTTTATTATGTTACAAGAGATATTAGGTACATGTCATACTAATGGATTTAGACCAGTCTGCTTGATTGCTTAAATATTTACTTTTGTATGTTTTAGGGTGCTTTGAATATATAAATAACAAGTAGGATTAGAAATTGGTTATTTGTTTTCCAAAATAAATGGTTATTTTGCATCATTTGGGGAAACAGTTACCTGTGGGTAAACCGATTCCCCGTTGGGGCGGGTACGGTTCAAATAAAAATTACCCGAACGGGTAATGGGGCGGTTTTGGGGCAAACATTTATCCAACGGAGCAGTTTCGGTTTTATGTGTACCCGTCCCCGATCCGCCCCGTTGCCATCACTAGTGTTTATTTTGGGATTCAAAATTTTAATGTTAATGTTATAATTTGTTCAAATAATAGTGGGCATACATATGTCCAGTAAACAAAATGGTGTACATGGAGTTCTTTTCACTAGTGTGCATAACGTAACTAACAAAAATATGAATAAAAACGTTGTGTTTTCAGTCTCTAAATAAAAATAATTATTTTCGAAACTTAGAAAATACTCCATTCGTATCATAATAAGTGTCTCACTTTCTTTTTTGCCCGTATCAAAATAAGTGTCTCACTTCTCTTTTAGAATATAATTCTTCCCCAAAAGTAGATACAGTACACTTTAATAAAGTAAACAGTATTGCTACAATACAAAAAATCTCCTACTTTGTCAAAAATTGAAAATCATATTGAGACTCTTATTGTGATACGGAGGGAGTACTACCATGTTTTAAACCCAGTAATGTAAAAACATGATAATATTGAAAATTAGCCAATGTTTTGGTAGATTCTAAGGTACCTTTTAGGTACCATACCTTTATCCACATGGACCAATCAGAATGATGCAGTTGATTTATTTAAATCAAAATTAAAAAATGATATAATGATTTAGACCAATCAAGTCAATGATAAGTATACCCAATTTTTCAAATGGGTACCTCACCATGTTTTAATTCAATTTCGGACAATTTTTTAAATAGTTCTCATATGTTCAATTTACATGTTGCATGCACCAAAAAGTCCAAACAAAACATCTCAAAATCTCTTCATTAATTAGACTCGAAAAGGAGCGGGAGACCCTAATGGTTGATTCAAACCAGAAATGCACAAAAATTGGAAACTTCGATGCTTTTTGCAGGGAGGAATTAAGTAAGTGATTAAGAAGTGACTTGGTGGCAGTTAATTATACAATTAGTTGTCCAAAAAACACGAAGAAGGTGGTTTCAGATTCAACCCCAAGTCGTCTTCGCCATTTCCCGAGAGCATTTGCCGTCGAGCTTTGAAATTGTGAGTAGAATACTGATGATGATCTGGGTTGACTCTTTTGACCTTTGACTCTAGTGGGACCCCAAATAGCTTCGTTATTCCCAAGTCACTCTGCTCCGCCACGTCAACAAAAGATGTTACCCCGCCGCCGCCGCCGCTACGCATTGCCGGAGTGGCGGCGATATTGTCAATATTAATTCTGCCTTGGCCTATATTAGGATGGCGATTCACGGGTTGTTGATGATGATAGCTGATGAGATGGCACAGAGGCTTCCGGCTTTCACCCGCCGCCGCAGGCGGCGGTGGAGATGGAGAGAACCAAGCGGGAGCAACGTTGTTACTCGGAGTTACCGGCTTGACATGGTTCTGAACAAAATATATTATGTCATTGTAAAGCTTCTTCATATGAGCTAGCTCCGACATTAGCATGTGGTTGCTCCTCCTCAGCCTCTCGTTATCCTCCGACAGCGCCGCCATCACTGACCTGCCGGGGGAGAACGCCGCCGATACGGGCGAGTCACAACACCAACTGTTGTTGTTGATGCATTTCGGCGGCGGCGGTGTGGTAAACTGCTGTTCGTCTGATTCCGACGGCGACGAAATGCTCTGCCGGCATGTATAAGTAGGAGAGCATCCCGAGCCGGTGATCGGGCAGTTGAGGTGGTGGTGGTTGACGGCGGATTGCGGCGGGACGCAAGTCCTTCTCCGGTGGATCTCGCCCAGCAAGTGCTTCTCCCCTCTTCTGAAGAACTCGTTCGCAAACTCCCACCTGTCCGGTACTATCTTCCTGAATCCCTAACCATTACCGGCCGGCCACCGGAAAATCAAGAAAATAACAAATTTCATAAAAATCCGATCTTTTTGAAAAAGAAACACCAAACGTCCAAACCCAAATATTACATTATAGATTAAAGGTAAATATATCATCAACTCACGTAAGTATTGAGCTGCCGGACAAAGGAGGAGAAGTTGTTGTGCTTGAAATAGTTAGGGAGGAGGTCCCGGGCGAACTCCGGCGGCCGCCACACGACAAAGGTGGTCTCGTCTTCTCCCCAAGAGACTATATGGTCGGTGGCGGGGTCGTCGACGAGTTGGTAAGTTTTGGAGAGAAAGGGGGCCGGGACTGTCTTCTGAGAGTCAACGTACACCATTAATCCTTCACAGTTCTCTACCATCATTGCCATTTCTAGTATTACTGTAATAAGTAAAATTTAATCTGATCGAACCTCGTTAAGCATATGTATAAAGCAAAAGCTTTGGGGTATAAGAAGTAGACGGAATATGTGACGCCGACGTGGCCGCCGGTGGCAGGGGAGACGAGAGAAGGGTACAGAGTGAGAGATTGATGTTAGATCAGACGCCGTAAGTGGAAAAGACTATATATTGGAGTCGTGTTGACTTGCAAGAGATGAAGCTTGAAAGTAGAATGTCTGTGTATGGTATTGTGAAATTTAGGGCCTTTCAAAGTTTCAAGACAAACCCGTGACACAAGTAGTCTTTCCCCTGTCGGTGTCTCTTCATGCTACTCAGAAATTTAGAATTGATGGCTTCTGCTTCTTTCATTAAAAAAAATCTGAGTCATACATTTTTAATTTCTGTATTGATTCGACCTAATAAACAATTAATATCTGTGCATGATTTTTTATGTAAAGCTTAAGGAAAATAAAAAATGATGTTTGTACTCACTTTTATATTCACTTTTGTACTAAACTATCATTGTGAAAGTTTCTTTTTGTCTGTGAATCCCGGTTCATATACAGCATTTTACACAGACAAAATATTGTGTGTAAACCCGGTTCACATACAAAAAAAACACTTCACAAACATGGTGGGTATAAGGTGAATATAAAATAGGTACAAATTGCTCGACTAAACATCTGAGTGATACTCCTTCCGTCCCGCTAGAAGGTTCCCGTGAACGATTTACGATGCTTGACTGACGATAAAACAACTTAATCCATGTTCACACTCTGGTTATTTTTAGTAAATAAAATTTACATATTCAAAAACTACATTAAAACCGCTACAAAGCCTGATTAAATAAATGTAAATTTGATAAAATTTTGATATATAAAGTAAAAGATTAAAAATGATCTAAGTTGACCATGTGAATAGTAGACGAGAATCTTCTAATGGGACGTAGGTAGTACTATATATCTTCGTATTGACTTAAATTCTCATTAAAATGACACGGTTATTTAGAATAATAAAGTTATTCAAATATGAGTTAATTCCTTATATAGGGCAAAAAAGTGAGTCAAGAGCACAAATAGGACTACATGTTTTTTCTTCCATCTAATAGGACTATTTTATGTGTATTTGGACAAATATGCCCTTGAGGCTTTTGAAAGGTCTTAATTAATAATAAATTCATAAAAAAATAAAAAACGTAAAAAGAAAACATCAAAAATCATTAAAAAAATTCGTAAAATATTTATAAAATAATTTTTTTTGGAATTTTTTTCTAAAAAAATTAAAATGCAAAAAAACAACTCTGCCGCATCTGCCACCCCAGCACCACCACCTCCCATCACGGATTGGAAATCTGCCAAAATTTGTAGTAATGCCATAATAATGGCAGAATCAATGATAATTTTGGCATGATGATGAGTAAAAATTCCAATTTCTTGGCAATTTCAGAAAACAATAACATTTTTTACAAATAATGGCAGAATCTGTACCAATCGGATTTATCAATTTTTTATATTTTTTATGGATTTTTACTACTCCCTCCGTCCCAGGGAGAAGTTCCCGGGTTGACTTTCACACATATTTAGGAAATAAAGTTACTGAGGGGAAAATTTTTATTGTTTGGCACTGTTTCGACACTATTTGGCACTGTTTCGACACTGTTTGGCACTGTTTTGCACTGTTTGACACTGTTTTGATGTAGGATAACTTTCCATTTAGGGAAATGGGAACTTTTTGTTGGGACTACCAAAAAAGGAAAGTGGGAACTTCTCTCTGGGACGGAGGGAGTATTTTTTATTAATTTTTTTAAAAAAAATCAAAAACAGAAATCTACGAACAATTCTAGTAATGCCATAATAATGGCAGATTCAATGAGATTTTTGACATTATGAAGAGTAATTATGCCATTTTCTTGGCATTTTCGGGGAAAAATGGAATTTTTTTATAAAAAGTGGCATAATTTTTACCGATCAAGGTGGTGGTTCTTGGAGGCGGTGGGAAAGGTTTCCATATTTTTTTTATTTTTTTTATGATTTTTTACTACTCCCTCCGGTTCTTTTTAAACTTCAGTGTTTGACTTCACAGTTATTAAGGAAATAAAGTTGACTTTACTGTAGAGTACACTGTTGAGACACTGTTTGGCACTGTTGAGACTGTTTGGCACTGCTGAGACACTGTTTGACACTGTTTAGCACTGTTTAACACTGTTTTGATGTAGATTTCTTTGCCAATTAAGGAAATAAGGAAGTGTGAAGTTTATTTTGGACCGTCCCAAAAAGGAAAGTGTGAAGTTTATTTAGAACCGGAGGGAGTATTTTTTAATAATTTTTTTTTTAAAAAACAATTAAAAAAATTTATTTTTAAATGTTTTTATTTAAAAAAAAAAATATTTTCGTACGATTTTTAAAAAAAAATTACGATTTTTTACTATTTTTTAAGATTTTATTATGCATTGTTACATGTTAGTATGAAATAATACCCTTAGGGGCATTTTTGGTATGCTGAATTTGTTTAGTCCTATTTTGGATGGTAATTAAAAAATGTAGGGGTCCTATTTGTGCGTTTTTAGTTATTTTTGGTCTTACTTAGAGCTCTGTTCTAAATATCGTTCTAGGCACCCGACTAGTCCCCACCTAGATGGCAAATTAATTGGTTTGTCATCTAGGTAAATTAGTTGACCGCCTATGACGCCTAATTACCCGCCTAGAGCGTCTAATCGGTCGTCTAGATTCCCCGAACATTACTTTACTTTTTAATTTTTATTTTCTAAGCGATATATCTACTTTAACTTTAGCCATGGATATAAGGAAATGAAGTTTTAAGTTAAGATAAAACTATATATGTTTGTATATATACCTAAGATTTATCATTAATTATGTTTATACCACAATGAAGTTAAGTGATTAGTTATCATATACTACATATGATTAAATATGAGAATTCTATGTTTCATGTTTGTTAATGTGTGTATATATATATACACTATCGTATATATGTATTTTATACACACAAAAATACAATATTACTTATCATATTTATGCAAAATATAGATAAAAATGCAATTTTTATGTCTCCGACTAGTCCCTGACTAGGCGCCCGCCTAACCGTCTAGAGGCGCTTGGCTGACGTCCGACTAGCGCCTCGTCTTTTAGAACATTGACTTAGGGCAATTACTATTCAAATATTGTCTGGAGTATATTACATTATTACTATTTCAACATCATTGAAAATCCCGCTCGTATGTACTTGTATTACTATTTCATTCATAGATTCATAGATTTGTCGTCGAATATGTTAGCACCAAATAGATTGATAATTACGTACTCTGTTTATAAAGGCAATATGTGAAATTATTCATGTACTTTGCATAAATAAGAGCATACATGATTACGTCTTCATCAATTTGTAATGAATGAGTTTTCTTTTAGAAAGAAAACAATAGCTTTCCACTTTTATAACCCGCTAAGGCCGGGCACTTAGAGGTGTAATCTTTTTTTTCTTTTTTTATTAGAAATGGAGATTCTTAAACTCAACCAAACAAGATTCAAATTTATAGTAATTAGCACTTGTTGTATCACAATTTATCTATGTAGCATGCATGTTACAAATGTTTTTTTTGCTCGTCAATTTCTGTCTTATTTTATTTTAATTTAATATTTTTTTAATAAAAAGTATACTTCTATTTTTCTCGTGAGAACTTTGATGTGCTATACCTTAGGTTTTTATGCGTTAAATCCCTTTCATATCCAAATATTCATAAGTTCGTTGTAATTAAAAAATGTAACAAATAAACCTTCCTTTGTATTCTTCACATAACACGGACCTTATTGAAACAACAAATTTAGTAGTATGACACCACACTGCCTGACTGCCACAGTGTGTCTTAGGGGCCGTTTACTTTCGACTGAATGGTCTGAATGGCAACAATCACTTATTCGGTCAGCTATATACGTTTGTTTACTTGGGACTTATTTTAAAACACCACTTATTCGCTAAGACAGTTTTCGACTTATTGATTCAGGGGAAATTCTACACTCATTACCGCTCAGACGTATGCATGTATCCCTTATCTCTTTTTTAACCCTTATTCGATTCATCGCTATCTTCTTCTTTGCAGAATTTCTCCTACGGCCGCCAACCTGCGTATATCATCTGCGGACAATCCATCTCTCTCACCGCCGCCCGCCTATGCGTTTCATCTCCATCTCCAGCTCTCAACCCTCACCTTCTCCATATCTATCGGTATTTCTCTTAATTTTTCTCTTTAGTATTTTCTCTTTATTTTGCTTTCGATTTCCCCTATTAAGAGCTCATCCTTGTTGTCTATCATACCTTTCACTACCTACAATGAAGTTTAGAATTTGTGAGTAAATTCACAATTTTTTTTATTTAGGTCAATCTTTAGTAATTTAATTTACATATGTCATATTGTTATACATCATGTTTAATGTTGGATAGTTTCATATTACAGATTCAAGAATGATTTTATGATGTTTTCTTCATTGGACGTTGCTGTATAATTAATAATTATCTAATTTTCATAAGAGTTAGGAATTTTCTAATCTAATTTATTTAATTTACATGTGTCATACTGTTAAACTGCATTTTGAATATAAAAAGCAGGGGGATTAAATGTAATACCTGCTGCTTAGTTAAAAAATTTAGAGACATGTGATTTAAAGAGTTCAGTGACACTTTTAGAGTTTCATTTGGTTTAAGATTTCAAACGTTACTATCTATGTTGTATATTCAATACAAAATAAAACATGCTGGCATGGGAATGCATCTTATGAATGTCTGGTAAAATTACAGAGTGTGTGTATATAAGTTATCATGACCAGAGAAACCTGTATGTGTGTGTATTAAATTTCTTTGTATTTTAGCATTCGGTTATGCATTTTAGCATTTGAGTTTTCGATTATCATCTTGTTTTTATCAAGCTACTTTAGGTACAACTTAAAGAATCATGTCATAAGTTATATCATTTCTCCGCTTTTTTATTTTCTAGTAGCCTAGTAGAGAAAAGATGTTAAAATAAGACTTGTTGTTTTGCCCAGAATCTTTTTAGATTAATCCTCACCCTATTAGCAACCATTTGGGTGATAGTTGAAGTAAATAATACTCCATATTACAATTACGTTGAAATTTGAGAAGCAGAAATCGTCATTTTATACATACATAACATACCATCCTCTTTTATATTACTTTCTCTTGTGAGGTTAGATTTTGGTCAAATTTTAGAGTTGAATCTCTTTTAATATAAG